GGGGTATAGTTGGATTATGACGGGCACTGTAAAGGATGAATTTTGAACTTGGATGGGTATTAATAGTAAGGAGAAAACAATTGGGGCTAATACCATTCGTAATATTTTGAGTCATATGGAAAGAAAGGAATAGGAGAATTCTTGGCAGTGTGGAAGAAGACATGGATAAGATTGACTCTTGGTTTTTATATTAGAAAATTTTGATTTTAGACCCTTGGTTTTTATATACTGGGTCAACCTTTCTACTCCATGTAGGATTTTGGGAATATTATAACTGATTTTGTAAATACTTTTGTACATAGGTTTGCACTCCCTTAATGCTTATATTGAATATTTTTTTATACTTTGTATTTAAAAAAAAAAAGACAATTGATAGAGTCATATGATGATGAAAATCCGGTGACAATTAACAATAGAGTTCCCGTGTGGAAGATGAAACAAATTACTTACCTTCAACTCAAACATCTCTTATTCCATTCCTGTCTCTGTCTAGAATGACAAAGGGATGCTGTCAAAATTTTAGGAATGAAAATTGAGAATAACAAGGTAATAAATGCAGAATAAAATTGGGATAAGTGATCATAAAAAAAAGAAAAACTTTATGGTGAGAGATACGAGAGCATTTACCTTTTAAAGAGAAATGGGAAAAACAAGAGAATTGGAGATGAGAACATGATCAACAAAATATGTGAATCTTTGTTGCTATCTACCACTAGCGGATCTCAATATTGTCAAGTATAAACCTGAAAATTGGAATGAAACTACTGAATCTTTATGCCTTCACGTCAAGCTTGCATAACATTTCCATCCTCCCTCTTCTTCTCTAGATAATCCACTAGTTCATTTGCTATTTAAGCAGTGTCAAGAATCTATCTTCCCCCACAAATACATGTTTTGGCACTTCCTCACCACACTCCCCAACACCCTTGCCATTCTCCTTGCTAGAATTTTGCAATGAGTTTATACACTTCACCCACTTAATTGATAGGATTTATGTAACTTTATCAATTTTATGTAATAATTAGAGAAATCTGATTATCAATATGCAGTTGTTTATTTTAATTATTATCTAGTTGTATTAATTACTAGTTGTTTATACTATTATGTTCTAAAAGTGTACTATAAAACACTCTGTAACAAATTACAATTTTACAGCTAATTACAGGTCTATTCTAACCTCTTTTGCTATCAAACAAAAGATAGTAATGAGATTGTAATGAGCAATTCCTAGGTGCAAATCAACAACATAACATACTGGCAATTTGATTGCAACCTTATTCCATTTCCTCCCAATAATTTTTACATTATAGATTTATTCCACCTACCGAATCAAAAGACCTGTAAATACATTAAGGGATTGTGTTTCCTCTCAGAACAAACAAAAAAAATACCTGAAATTGTTAAACAAATAATGTAAAGAAAATACCACGTTATAACGTAAGAGAAAATGCTTAATAACTAGAAACTATCACATAAGTCCCTAAACTATGAACCAGATTAGAAGATACCCCGATAAACAACATGTGCACGAGCCTTATGCTCAAGTACAGGCAGCATAGGAAGTGGGCTGGTTACGGAACTCAACAAAGAGGTTACCTGATGTCAACAGCAAACATGCACACTTGATTTTCTGATTGTTTTTGTTTTTTACTGTAACCTTAATCCAAGATCATATTGAAGAACCAAAACTAGCAGATGGGTACTTATTTTGCAATCTTGTCATAGGGCTATTAACATGAGAACCAAAACTCAAGGAAGATGAGTACTTCTTGCATCTTCTTCCTTTTGTTTCTATCATTAACTAGCAGAATAGGCTCAATTATAGAGAATCCAAAGATCTCTAGAAGTTTAAAAGTACTCCACAAACCTTTTCCAAAACTTCTTCACTGTGTTCTTTATTGCTTTTTTTTTGGAAATAAAAGTATAGACTGTGTTCTTTATTGCTTATGTATCCTTTAGTTCTTAGATATACAAGGAACTAACTTAAGATTAGGAACTATTGTAGTTGTTTTTTTTTTTTTTTTTGATAGAAGAAGCTTTATTGGGAATAGAGGAAAAATGGACGAGGAACTACTATAGTAAACCAATATGATAAATGCACACTTGATTTTCTGATTGTTTTTGTTTTTTACTGTAACCTTAATCCAAGATCATATTGAAGAACCAAAACTAGCAGATGGGTACTTATTTTGCAATCTTGTCATAGGGCTATTAACATGAGAACCAAAACTCAAGGAAGATGAGTACTTCTTGCATCTTCTTCCTTTTGTTTCTATCATTAACTAGCAGAATAGGCTCAATTATAGAGAATCCAAAGATCTCTAGAAGTTTAAAAGTACTCCACAAACCTTTTCCAAAACTTCTTCACTGTGTTCTTTATTGCTTTTTTTTTGGAAATAAAAGTATAGACTGTGTTCTTTATTGCTTATGTATCCTTTAGTTCTTAGATATACAAGGAACTAACTTAAGATTAGGAACTATTGTAGTTGTTTTTTTTTTTTTTTTTGATAGAAGAAGCTTTATTGGGAATAGAGGAAAAATGGACGAGGAACTACTATAGTAAACCAATATGATAAATGCACACTTGATTTTCTGATTGTTTTTGTTTTTTACTGTAACCTTAATCCAAGATCATATTGAAGAACCAAAACTAGCAGATGGGTACTTATTTTGCAATCTTGTCATAGGGCTATTAACATGAGAACCAAAACTCAAGGAAGATGAGTACTTCTTGCATCTTCTTCCTTTTGTTTCTATCATTAACTAGCAGAATAGGCTCAATTATAGAGAATCCAAAGATCTCTAGAAGTTTAAAAGTACTCCACAAACCTTTTCCAAAACTTCTTCACTGTGTTCTTTATTGCTTTTTTTTTGGAAATAAAAGTATAGACTGTGTTCTTTATTGCTTATGTATCCTTTAGTTCTTAGATATACAAGGAACTAACTTAAGATTAGGAACTATTGTAGTTGTTTTTTTTTTTTTCTTTGATAGAAGAAGCTTTATTGGGAATAGAGGAAAAATGGACGAGGAACTACTATAGTAAACCAATATGATAAATGCACACTTGATTTTCTGATTGTTTTTGTTTTTTACTGTAACCTTAATCCAAGATCATATTGAAGAACCAAAACTAGCAGATGGGTACTTATTTTGCAATCTTGTCATAGGGCTATTAACATGAGAACCAAAACTCAAGGAAGATGAGTACTTCTTGCATCTTCTTCCTTTTGTTTCTATCATTAACTAGCAGAATAGGCTCAATTATAGAGAATCCAAAGATCTCTAGAAGTTTAAAAGTACTCCACAAACCTTTTCCAAAACTTCTTCACTGTGTTCTTTATTGCTTTTTTTTTGGAAATAAAAGTATAGACTGTGTTCTTTATTGCTTATGTATCCTTTAGTTCTTAGATATACAAGGAACTAACTTAAGATTAGGAACTATTGTAGTTGTTTTTTTTTTTTTTTTTGATAGAAGAAGCTTTATTGGGAATAGAGGAAAAATGGACGAGGAACTACTATAGTAAACCAATATGATAAATGCACACTTGATTTTCTGATTGTTTTTGTTTTTTACTGTAACCTTAATCCAAGATCATATTGAAGAACCAAAACTAGCAGATGGGTACTTATTTTGCAATCTTGTCATAGGGCTATTAACATGAGAACCAAAACTCAAGGAAGATGAGTACTTCTTGCATCTTCTTCCTTTTGTTTCTATCATTAACTAGCAGAATAGGCTCAATTATAGAGAATCCAAAGATCTCTAGAAGTTTAAAAGTACTCCACAAACCTTTTCCAAAACTTCTTCACTGTGTTCTTTATTGCTTTTTTTTTGGAAATAAAAGTATAGACTGTGTTCTTTATTGCTTATGTATCCTTTAGTTCTTAGATATACAAGGAACTAACTTAAGATTAGGAACTATTGTAGTTGTTTTTTTTTTTTTTTTTGATAGAAGAAGCTTTATTGGGAATAGAGGAAAAATGGACGAGGAACTACTATAGTAAACCAATATGATAAATGCACACTTGATTTTCTGATTGTTTTTGTTTTTTACTGTAACCTTAATCCAAGATCATATTGAAGAACCAAAACTAGCAGATGGGTACTTATTTTGCAATCTTGTCATAGGGCTATTAACATGAGAACCAAAACTCAAGGAAGATGAGTACTTCTTGCATCTTCTTCCTTTTGTTTCTATCATTAACTAGCAGAATAGGCTCAATTATAGAGAATCCAAAGATCTCTAGAAGTTTAAAAGTACTCCACAAACCTTTTCCAAAACTTCTTCACTGTGTTCTTTATTGCTTTTTTTTTGGAAATAAAAGTATAGACTGTGTTCTTTATTGCTTATGTATCCTTTAGTTCTTAGATATACAAGGAACTAACTTAAGATTAGGAACTATTGTAGTTGTTTTTTTTTTTTTTTTTGATAGAAGAAGCTTTATTGGGAATAGAGGAAAAATGGACGAGGAACTACTATAGTAAACCAATATGATAAACTGCTATAGCTGACACGTGGCAGTAACTGCCCTAGACAAACATTAACTAACAGATGTGCGAAATAACCCACACTAGACAGAACACCTGTGATAGACAATGTCAAGCTTATATATTTATGGCCGTAGATCACACAAGTCAGTACCTGTAAGTAGAAAGCATAAATGCAGATAAATAAGTTTGCTTTTTCTTGATTGTTCTTCTTTCTATGTGGATAAACCTTGTTAAAATGCACCTTTTAGCGTCACTTGAGTTTTGACTCCTCTAGAACCAGAACAGATCCCTATGCCAATAAAGACAATTTATAAATAGGTAAAAACAAGAAACTAATTATGTAGGAGAAGACCTAACTTGGAAAATACTATGCATTAAGGTATACTCTGTATTTTTTTTTTTTGTTTTTGAAATAATGGTATACTCTGTATCTTAATAGTCATCTTTAGCAAAAAGTTTAATCTATAGGTTTATTGATTTAGTATAAATGCTTTTTATGGGCTACAGGATCAGTTTCATCGTCATCTATTATTGGAGGCTGAAAGGAGACAACTGCGACGTATTATTGAGAACAAGTCACGGATAATCCTTGTGCATACAACCTCCGGGTTCAGGTTAGTTATTGTTATCTTTGCTTAAACAGCTTAATGCTCTGAGCAATGCATGAGCCTATGGGATATTGGTTAAGTTAAAGCTGCTCATATAATAGACAAATATTTGGAGGACTTTGTGTTGAAAGGTATGATCTTTTTTGATACACCACTGCAGATGAGGTTGTGGGGAGAGAAGAGGCCATCAAAATGGGCGTTTATATACTTATTTTGGTGAATATGCATATCCCGCATTGTAGTAGCATGAATCTTATTGTTCATGACTAGTTATAATGGGAGAAAACCTCTAGAATGACATGTCAACATAACTACTTTATCTTTGGGAAATCAATAACAGAAACGTTTGAACTTATCTTCTTGAGAAATTTATGAGGACTAATGTTTGGGAATGAAGTTTCTTGAAGATGCCCTTTAGAAAATCTTCTAGGTTTGAGGCGTACCATGACCATAACTAATGTTCTTTTTAATCAGCAAAAGCATTGTACCTTATTACTAAAAGTGATTCGTCCATCTAACCTTTGTATATAAGTCATATATGTTTAGCAAAGTTTTCTGCTTCAATGCTAGGGCGAGCATCTAGTGGTAAGAGAATCAAATCAATATGCTTCCTTGGTTGCATGCCCATAACACATTCAATAGACTTGATTCTTGTGCTTTGATTTACTAAACTAGTGTTAGCAAAATCAGCAATGAGAAGAACAAGATCCCAATTGGTAACATTATCCCCGCACAGAACATCATAGGAGCTCTCCCAAGCTCCTATTGATAACTTTAGTTTATTCATCAGTTTATACATGAAAAGATGTAGAATATATGAATTGAGTGTGCAACATCTTCCACAAGGTACACCAAAAGTAACAAATTTTGTATCACGATCAGAAACAATGAATAGGGGTGGCCTGTGCAAGCGAACTACTTAGAAAAACAATTTGGCCACATGAGAAGTATCAAGGGTCTTTGCACATGGTATGAAATGATCTATTTTAGGAAACTGATTTACTACAACAAATATTTAATCATGTCTTCTAGTTGTTTTTGGCAAACTAAGTATAAAGTCCATGCTTATATTTGTCCATGGCTCATGGGGTACAGGCAGTGGCGTTTATGGCCCAGCATTAAGCTTTTTCCTTTGTAGATTTGACAGACACGATACCTAGTAACTGTTTGAGTCACATCTCTTTTTATATT